TATAAAACCCCGCACTTGCTGTTTCCTTCTCCCAAGAGAGTTCCCACCAGGAACAGGGACAGGTCAGAAAGCTGGGGTCAACCAGATCAGTGAGCAAATTCCAAGACCCCCGACTCTTGCAAACCGCCTGCCTTGTGTGCATACACATGCATACGCACGCAGCACACCCGAAAGGAGGACAACCTGGCTGAGTTCTCCCAGCAGGCCGCTAGTCGGCTGACCGCATGCGGGTCCACCCTTCGCCCCCCACCTCCGTTTCCTCATCTGTGACCTGAGGGATTGGAGAGTGTGTTTGCAAAGCCCTCCTCAGCTTCCTTGGTCGCAATACAACCACAGACTTACAGGCACAATTTTGCTCAGAAAAGGCCTCTGGTCCCTGCTGATGAGTGGCTCATTTTCTTGGGTGTAGGAGTGAGACGGGGTAGGGCTGCTCTGCTCAGGGACCCACCTGGGGTCAGCCCCTGGCCTGGAGCCACACCCATGAGGGCTTCCTTCCTAGCTGCCCACCCCCTTGCAGTGGACATGCAGACCTGGCTGGAGCCCTGCCAGCCTACGCTGGCCCCTGCTTCCCTCTTCTCTGACCCACGCCCCTAGCCCCACCTCTCCACTCCCACCATTCCTAGAGATGTGTGAAGACTGTAGCTTCCATCCTGAAGCCACCAGAGCTCCCCCAGAATTCCACTGTAATGACGACACCCCTCTCAGATGTCTGTGTAAACTGTACCTTTGGGACCTCGGTTACTCCCACTCACATGGAGCTGAGGAGCAGGATCGCTTAACTCACTTGCCAGAAAAACATGAACATGGGGACCAGCAGTTAGCGTAATGGCTATGTCGCTGGACTCCCATGTAGTCGACTATGGTTCACGTCCCAGACCCGGTGGCTTAAAACTCATGCCGGGCGCGTGTGCGTGCGTGCCCAAGATCCCGAGAGGAGAATGGAGAAGAAATTGTGGCGTGGCCATCCCCCCTGGGGGGTGATTTCTCACTTTCTATCTCTCTGTCTCTCTCTGTCTGTCTGGCGAGCGCATGTGCCCTATAGCAAAAACCTCTCCAAAAAAAAAAGAAAAACAAGACAACTCGGGAAATTAGCAAAGGAAAAGAAAAGAGTGTAGCTTGACTACCTCTTAGAGAAAGCAGAGGGACTCTGAGACCACACAAAAGCAGAAGGCAGCTGATAAGAAGTCCATGCAGACAAGAGAGTGATGACGGGCTACTCGGAAAACCGAAGTGCTCCCACCAGCGGGTGTACCAGAAGCTCTCATGTGAATATTTAGAGCCCAAGATTCCGAGAAAAGGGATTGCTGCGTGGTCATCCCCCATGAGGGTTGATTTCTCACTTTCCCTCTCACTCCCTCTCTCTATCTCTATCCCTTTGGCAAAAACCTCTACCAAAAAAAAAAAGATTTAGTAGAGTGAACAATCATTACATATGCTATAACATCCTTATAAAACTGTCTATTTTAGGAACCAGCAGACAGTGTAATGGTTATATTGTTGGACTCCCCCGTAGTTGGCCATGGTTCAAATCCCGGACCTGGTGGCTTAAAACTCACGCCTGGCACCTGTGTGTGCGTACCCAGAGTCCTGAGAGGAGAATGGAGGAGAAGGAGAAGGATTGTGCTGTGGCCATCCCTCCTGAGCGGGGGGGGGGAGGAGGGGAAGGAGGCAATTTCTCACTGTCTCTCTCTCTCTCTGTCTCTCTGGCAAGTGCACACGCCCTATAGCAAACATCTCTCTAAAAAAAAAAAAAAAAAAAGGAAACTATTTTAAACCTTACCTTTCAGCCTGATTTAGCGTGCTGTTTTAGAGCCATTCTCTGAAGGATAAAACACTGCCATGCTTGTCACAGCAACACAAAAGCGAGGACTCTGGGGACTGGGTGGGCACAGCAGTAAGACACTCTGAGAGGCTGCCCTCCACAGGAAGGTCCCCATTTCAAGTCCAGAGATGTCCTGAGTACACTGGCAAGTGTGTGCCCGTGGGCTGGCCTGACAGAGGCTGGGGGGAAAACACGGCATGGGACCCTGCTGGAAATGCTCTCTCTCTGTCTCTGTCTCTCTTAGTCATGGAAGAAATGAAGAAATAGACTTAAAAAGAAAAAAAAAAAGAAAGAGGAAGAAAGAAGCAGGGACTCAAGCCCGAAGGTCTGGGCTTGAATTCCCATTCCCCCTTTCACTGTCCTTGGGTAAGTTGCTCGGCTTCCCTCTGCCTGTTTCCCACCTGCAAAATAAGGTAAAGCAGTCCCTAGCTCATGGGAGTGTTTGGAGGGTCAGGTGTAAGGCCTGACACGGGCACGGCGAGCGGGTGTGGGTGTGTCACGCGCGTGCTAATATGTCACTTTGCTCCAGCTGGGAGGGTCACTGGCGCTTCCCTATCCAGGCAGTGACTACGCGGCTGAGCCTCCCAGCTCTACATTTCTGAGATCCCCGAATCAGCACTGCTTCTGCCCACTTCGCACAGAGGGGCTCACAGACGGCTGCTGTGACCACGGTGGCCTCCCCAGGGATCACACGCACAGTCTTGGGCTGTGGACACAGGCGTGCCCACGTGAGAACAGAAAAATACACAGCACATCGGGAGGAAGAGGCTGCCACCTGCCTCGCTTTACCTCAGAGGGATGGGGGGGTGCACTGTGCCCCGGAAGAGCCAGATTCCTTTACCCCGATTTGACTGGTGTGGCTGGGGAACAGAGACAGATGCTGGGACTTGGGGAAAGAATTAGCTAACCCCCCAAGGAATTAGGAAAGCCCTTCTCCCAGGGAATCTATGGACATCCTGGTGCTGGAGTGAGTTTGGGGGTGTGATGATGGGGAGTGGAAAGTCTGGAGCTCCAGGGCAGGCCCCAGGCAGGTGGGGCCCACAGATGTGTGTGCAGCTGCAGGGGCTGGGACCGTCTCAGCTGCCTCTGCTTTCCACAGACCGGGGAGTGCTGTGCAACCTCGCCCCGGGGTTGCAGGGTGACTCAGATGTCAGGGAAGGCAGGGAGAGGCCTGAGGATGGTGACAGAGGAAGTACCCAGCTGCTGGAGGGGAACACACAAGCCTGAGAGACTGTTCTGGAGCAGGCCCCTCTTTAGGAAGGCTTCAAGGGCCCGGGCTCAGTTGGCCAAGGCCCCTTGACTTTCTGCTCACAGGGACGACCTGGGGCCGGGCGGGTACCTGGAGAACAGGTGCACTACCCCCCTCCTCACTTCCCCTCACACACCCAACAAACGCCCCCGCACATAGTACCCACGTCCCTCTCACCAGGGAGGAAACAGGCTTGGAGACGTGGTGAAGAGGCCAGGGTCCCATGGCGGGGGTGGAGGCAGTGCCTGCACCTCCCAGACCCCCCAGTGTCGAAGGGTGTCTGAGAGCACTGCCAGCCAGGGAGGCGGGGGGAGGGGTTTAGGCCACAGGGAGCAAGGAATTGTTGGCGTGCGGGAGGAGCAAGGAGGAACACCTCTTCTTTTTTAAACTTTTTTTAATTGCCAGAAGGCACCTAATTCTTATTTTGTTTAGTTTAATTATGTATTTTCTTCATAAGTGAGAGAGACAGAGACAATACCTTCCCCCGCTCCCAATGGGGTCTCAACATAGCAGCCCACCCCACCCCAGCCAGCCTGGGACCATGGGCACCCATAAGGATGTCTCAGGCTAGGAACCTGGGCTAGGCCCACGTGGGTCAGCCTCGCCGAGGGGAGCTTCGCTTCTTCCGGCTGCACCACTGTCCGGCCCTGGCGGAACAGCCCTTCTCAAGTGCCACATCCCGAGACTCTCAAGGTACAGCCTGATTTTTGTCCCCTGAGGCCTGCCCAACCTCCTTGGGAGGAGAAACTAGCAAAAGGAAACTTCCTCATCGCCTCCCAAAGTTGGTGCCCATTTCAGGGATGGTGTGGGTAGGAGGCGAAGGCCCGAGAGCAAGAATAAGGCCATGGAGCGCAGTGAGGTGAGTCTTCGAGGACGGCCAGCTGCTGCTCCGCTCCTGTGGAAGCCGCTGCGTGGGAGAGGGTCTAGCTGGGGGAGGACGGGAGGGTGAGCAGTCAGCCCCTTTTTCCCTGCTCCTGCCAAGAACTGGGTCCAACTGTGATTCTAGTTCTTCCCCTGGAGGGGGCCCCGTTCCTCGTGCCAATGGCTCTGACTGCAAGATCTCCTGGACTGGGTGGGACAGTCTGTCTCAGACCCCTTTCACCTGTGCCAACTTGGCCTCTGGGCCAGCCCCCCGAGCCTGGTGACTGTGTCCAGGCTGTATGTGACCCACAGGGGACCCATCCAGAGGGTGCCCAGTGGTCGGTGCTGAAGTCTGGCCTGAGGACCCTTCTCAGGGAGGATGATCCTAGCCAGCGTAGCTGTTCTCTACGTGGGCACCAGCGGATGGCGTAATGGTTACGTCCCTGGACTCCCATGTGGTCAACTGTGGTTTGAGTTCTGGACCTGATGGCTTAAATCTCACACCGGGTCCATGTGTGTATGTGCCCAAAATCCTGAAAGGAGGCTGGAGGAGAAGGGATTGCAGCGTGGCCATCCTCCCTGGGGGGGTGATTTCTCACTTTCTGTCTCTCTGTCTCTCCAGCAAGTGCATGCGTCCTGAGGCAAAAACCTCTCTAAAAATAAAATAAAATTAATTAATTAAACCTACATGGACACCGGGCTACATTTCCCAGAGATTCCAATTCACTTAGGCTGGGGCCCAGACACTGGTCTTTAAAAAATGACCACAGGCTGCAGACGTCGCTTCTGCACCACGAAGCGGGCCCTGGAGGGCACAGGGCTGGCAGGTGTGGTGACGGAGGGCGACTGGATTTCCCAAGAACCAGCACGCGTAGCCTCCAGGTCTTGCCGGAGCCGATTCTTGGCTAGAAACCACCAGAGTGACAGTTGCTTTTTTTGCACTCTCAGGCTGTATAGGCAGGATCCCTGTCATAGGGTGGGTTTCCTCCCTCAGCACCTCCCACAGAAGGCAGGGAGTCGTTCTGTGAACTGGTGGGCAGCCAAGTAGCTGCAGGTCATTCAACAAAGAACAAAATCGAATTTTTCTTTAATAATATTAAATTTCATTCTTCAGTACTAAACATTGGTTGTACAACCATTTGTTCCTGCAGTTAATATATATTTATGTATATTATATATATAAGGTATAAAGCTGACACTTCTGGAGCCCGGAGCGAGTACAGATGGTTCAACCGGGGGAGGAATGGCGGCTCTGCTCACCTCCCTCCAGTCACAAGCACTCCGAGCTGGGATTTCATGGGCTCCTCTTAGCCCAGGACCTTCCGAGTAGGACAGATCAGGGGATGACCAGGAGGCAGGGGCTCTCAGGATTCACTGGCACGCTTCATGGTTCATTCCCCACCTCCCCCGGACCCAATCCTGGTCCTGCCTTCCCTTCCTCCGCCCTAACACGTTGCTTCCACCTTCCCAGATCACTTCCACCCGGCAGCTGCAAACGCAGGGCTCTTATGCTCTGTCGTGCACCGACAGCGTCCCACGTGTCAGTCCCAGCTCCCCCACCAGGCCTTGGGCTCCATCCTCTGCTCCTATGAGACCTCGCCTGGATGCCTGCATGCCAGCAGTGAGCTGGTGGGGATGGAAGATTCTGCGCACCGTGGGCACCAGCCTGAAGAGTGAGATGGAGCAGGGACCCTAGGCCTGAGAAGGGCCTCTGACAGAGAAGGGCTGCCGGGTGCCTGAGCAGCCCCTTACCACGACCAAGGCCACTCTTACTATGGATCCGTTCTCACCCCTATGGTCCGGATCCTCCTCATGTGTGATTTGGGAGGAAGTGAATCAGGGGCGTCGCCAAGAGTATCCCAGTGGCCAGAAATGAGGGGATGGACATTGAGAGGGTAAGGAGCTCATTTCACCGCACAGCTGCCGTGAGCTCGGCACGGGCTGGGGGCTTTGCAGGCAATTTCTTTCAAACCCTTAAGGAGGTCTCATCCCCCAGAGTTTCGTGCTGAGGAGATGAAGGCCTAAAGAAGTGAAACAACTTCCTCTGGCCGTTTAGCTAGGAGGCACTGGACTGCTACTGCAGCTGAGCCTGTCCTGTCCCTCTCGGCTCTTGGGTCTCGGACCCTCAGGGGAGAATCTGCACCAGGTCCTGGCAGTAGACAGGTCGAGTGTTAGTGCTATATTTCTGCAGGTCCGGGGGAGAGAAAGTGGATGTGGGGTGGTGGGGGTGGCTGAGGGGGTGGGGATGGTACTGCGGGTCAGAGAACAAAAGTTTTATCTACATTTCTACCACCCAAGCCCAGAGTAGACAGAACCGAACTCCAGACACAGGGTTCCCCAAGTCTTTGACCAAGTAAGGGTGGGCCCAGGGCTGGCGAGGAGACTTGAACCACGCCTCAGAGCACCAGAGTCTCTGATCTCCTTCTAGAAAGGACCATGCTAATGGTCAGGGCTTCGGTCAACTCCGCCCACCCTTCTGCCGTGAGGAACTGAGAGGCTAGGTGGCAGGGAAGCCCCAAGTCCCCAGGAACCATCGCCCTTGCCCCCGTGCCTGCTGCAGGGCCCGCAGCAGGACCCGGGCCCAGAACAGGGCCTCTCAGTTTTCCACGGGGAGCAATGGCTATGGAGCAGGCTTCAAGGGCGGCCGCCTAGGCTTCCTGCTCAGTCTGAGGCCCGGGTCATGCTAGGGAAGGGCTCCACTGAAAGTCATAATGGGCAAGCAGAGCAGGGAGCAGAGGTCAGGTGAGGCCTGAGTTGGCACATCGGGGGGCCTCGGGGGCGGCGTGCAAAGGTCGCTCTTCTCTGGCTTGTAGCAGGGTGAGACCTCGCACCTGTGGGGCAGGGCAGGGGTAAGGGCAGGCCCCCTCCTCATCCCTCCGGATCTTCCAGGTCTCTGGGGCGGGAGACCCCAGACCCCCTCCCTGGGATCATTGTTGGAGCAGAGCTGCGGCCCCCTTCCCTACCTGACCACGCTCTGCAGGATCTTTCTCTCGTCCTGGTCCAGACACACAGCGAAGGGGCAGCTGCTGGAGCCCACGATCTGCACCTTGTCCACTTTGATCTGCGACGTGCTGATCTGCACGGAAGGCCAGGTCAGCCGCGCCTGCCGCACCCCACCGCGCTCTCAGGGCTCCTTCCCTCCGTGTGCCCGAGGTGTGGGGTCGAGCGAGGGCAAGAGTGTGGCTGGCAGCTCTCCAGGGCTAGTGGCCAGCCAGGAAGGGGTCCCAAGGCCTCCTTCCAGCCTCCTCCTCAGAGGCCCTGCCTCCTCTCCAGCCTCTACCCTTCCCTGAGCCTGGAAGAGGCAAGTGCCCCTGAAGAGATCCTGCACAGCCCACTGCCCTCAACCCGGTTCCCTGGCACGGGGTGTGCTCTGCCTCAGACTCAGGGCGCCCCCTAGTGGCCACCACAGGACCTCCCATACAAGCGCTCTCACAGGCACCCCTTCCTCTAGACACCCACAGCGTTGCACACCTGTGTGGGCCCCAGCCACACCCCTCACTGTGCCTTCCCTCTCCCATCCAGAAACCCTGCCACAGTCACCCTTCCTTTCTCCCTGTCTCTGTCTCACACAAACACACGTACACACATGTATACTTGCATGCACATACACGTACAGAACACACACATGTGCACATGTGTGCACACATAAAACATCATGCACATGTGCGCAGAATGTGCACCTTCATTTGTGCACATGTACACAGGAGGTGCACATACACATACACATGTGTGCATGCACACACACATGTGTGCTCCAATAAGAACTTGGGGCTGTGGCTGGAAGGAGAGGGAAGCCCTTACCTGGTTAAAGGCCTTCTTGGATTTGGGATTCTGCCTTTTCACCACTTCTGTCAGGTTTAGCGTCAGGGCCTCCATGCTGGAATCTGAAGGGCAAAGCCGCTCAGCCTGGGTCAGAGGCCTCCCTGCCTTTCCCCCTTGTCCCACCACTCCCCCTCCTCCCTGTCGCTCCTCCCTCTTTCCCCCTCCTCCCATCGCTCCTCCTCCTCCCTGACTTCCCACTCCTCCCTGCCGCTGCCCCCTCCTCTGCCCTCACCAAGCTCCTCCTGCTGCCGGCAGGCCTTGTTGAGGTTGACGGAGGTGCAGACCTTCTCCAGGGTGCTCCAGCGGCTCCGTCCACTGATGGCTCCCTGCAAATGCAGCACCCCGGACCCTCTCAGCCCAGAGGCCCTCGGCCACTACCCTGCCGGGTTTGGAGGCCGAGGGGAGCTGTCCACTGCCTCCCCTGGCTACCTTTTCTCGGCCTCTGGGGTCTGGGGCCTGGGACGGTGAGTCAGGCAGTGGGCCCAAGTGCTGGTGGAGGAAGGGTCCCCAGCAGATCCGGAGGGGAAGGGACCCAGCCCCGGCCTTACCTTACTGTAAATAATCTGTAGTGTTAGAGGGACGGCCTCGCGGTCACCATCGATGCCCAGTCGCTTGCTGCCAGGACCTGCGCCACACAGACGGACCCTTAACTCCCTCTGACCACTCGTGCCCATCACAGACCGCACGGCTGGCATCCGGGTACCCCACCAGGTAGAGGCTCACCTCTCTGTGACCCCGCCTCCCTGGGCCCCACCTCCACAGGGCCCCATCTCCCCAGGGCTCCGCCTCCCCCCCTGTGTCTACCTAGGCTCAGGCTGTACCTACCCGAAGCCTTGATGGCGCGTGTGGCCGCAGAGTGACCCAGCTCCAGGGAGTGGATGAAGATCTCCGTCGTCCTCTCCCCGGTGATGAAGGTCAGCTGGAAAGGGCAGGGTGTCTGCATCAGACCCGCCATCCGGCAGGGGCCCACCCGCTCCTCCGGCGCGGGGCGGCT